TGTGTCAGACGTTATGACTGCCATAAAATACTTCACTCTACCTTAATTAAAAGTAACGACTGCGGGCTAAATGGATGCCGTCTCTTTGTTTTTGCTGTTAACTTCTCGGCCATATTGTCAGCGCTTCGACGCTAGAACTAGGGTCATTACTAAACCGAGTAACTGATTTAAATGAAGTAGTATTTATTAAATGACTCAGTGCTAAATGTGTGGATTATTTCCTATGTGACTGGACGCAGATTCACGAGGGCTGAGGTATGTAGGTCACCTACATTCGATCATCATCCGCGCATAAATAGTGGTTTTATTGCTTAAAGTCTGGGACCTCAAGGAGAGAATAACAAGACGCCATTTGAAGATGGGTCTGTCTTCAGGGTTGTTGCGCCGTGTAGTCTGATATAAGTTTGCCGACTTTCAGAGATCCTAGCTCACCGACGTGAAAACCTCAAATCCTACAAGACGCCATTTATTCAGCTTTGCTTAAGGGAATATCTGGACCTATTAAAGGGAAAACAACAGTAAACGCGAATAATGAGATATTCATCTTCTTCTTCTTCAGTTATAATAATCTGTCCCGACTCGTAACTAATAGACACGCCTATTGCTTAAAGGCCTGAATGCACTTCAACTATGTCACGTTTCGAATACGTGATATATATTTATGAATGTTAATAGGAGGAACCTCTGTTATACGGATATTACAATTTCATTTCGTTTTATAATTTGCTTTAAAGCTTACATTACTTCATTCATAAGCACACATTTGTTGAATCTCTCTAAGGATTTAGGCCCACTAAATAAATATTACCTTACTAAAAATTTGCATAATGCTAATACAGAGATAGTCACTGATCAGTTATATAAGGCCAGTGCCTTTCAAGTTTTATCAGCTACTACCTGCTTTCGCCTTGACAAAGGTTACAGCCAACACCTGCTTGATGTATTAGGCATTGCACATACCTAAGCAGGAAACTTGCGTCATGCATAAATTAAACTCATCTTTCTAATTCCACACCAAACGGCACATTCTCTCCCTGTTCTTGTGTTCCGCTGAAATACCAATCAAAATTGACTCCTCAGTCATTGGTTCTATAACACGGAAAATCTTTTAACAATTCGTGGTTTTATTTAAATTCGTGTTGCTCTGGATGTCTCCGGACACACAATCTGTGCGGAATACGACATTGCCCATATCTCTGCCCGGGAAAAGCATCATTTATCACATTGACGCCGCATGACGGGTGTTCAGAGCCACGGTTTTGATGGAATGAAAAGTATTTGGTATTGATGGAATTGTACCTGTCAGTCATCTTATTAAAACAAGGCATACGCGAAACAGATTGTGGGAATGTTCACACCAAGTCAGGAATAAATTAATGTACATAACCCATGGAGCAGAATGTTTTTTGAGAAGCTAACAGCAGCTTAGCTAGTCAAGAAATTATCCCCCTATTATTGATGTCAAAGGTTCATTAACGTGTTTATGAAATACCGCTAGAACCTATCCTTAGCCAGATGATTCCAATTCGCGTCTTCCAAAACTCACATGGGTACAAATTCAATTTGTGTGTCATAGCGGTATAACCATCACATCTGCTATAGAGGAAATAAGACAGTAAACATGTAAGGAGAATTATGGTGAATGTTGTACGAGTAAGTTTCGGCTTACTTTGTTTAACACACTAACAGTAACGCGTAATTAACCCGTTCATACTTGATCTGAGACCAGTCTGCATTCTAATGAATTAGCCGGAATGTTAATCAGCCGAAACATTAAACTAACCATTTACCGAGCTTTACCTTAATAACTTGTATAAGCCTTTACGTCGCGTTCTTATGCAAAGAGCAGTATTAATTTTGCATTTAACATACTTTAATTACTCATACCCTAAAGTAATATTTAGCACATTGCTTAAGGATTAATACATCTACCAAGATTTGTTTAAATACTTTTTATTAGCTATGAAGGTTTATCAGTGCGAATTATATGAGGAGATAATTACGTATGGTAAATCGGTAATTACTGAGAATAAACCAGTCGTGGCCTATTCGAAGATGCTTTCAGGCATTCGCCGCGAGTCTTTATTTTCACGTTACAACTTACTACGTTTTGTGAGTGTGAGAATCCTGTGTTTTAAGGACAGCGGGCGGTATAACTGAAGGTAGAAGGAACGATAACTGGTTATGTACTGCACAACAAAGGCAGCTTTAAATATTCACGGAACTTCACAACCATGTAAATAAAGTCCATCCACTCTCATGCTCCCTCTGTCGACAAAACGCTTATTACCAGCGCCAGACCATGACCTGGACCGCAGCGGTTTCCAAATTTGTGGTTAATCGTGCTTCACACAGAGAGAGCTTTGAAAATTGAATTGTCGTTTCACGCGATTTATATCAGTTCACATGTACAGCAACTATTAAAGATTGGGCCTTTACTGACCACAAAAGTGGAAACTAGCTATATTTCCCGCGTTACTATTTTAATTACTGAATAACCAGCCGTCGTTAATAACAGTTCAAGAGATTAATAACTAGTTATTTCGAAAAATAATCACATAACTGACTCGAAACTTTACAAATGATCTGCGCAAAACTGATGCTAAAATATTTACGGAAATCCGTTGATTTCCTATTACAGATAAACCCTTGTTTCAAAAACACCATTTTAGCTGATTATCACTCTACCATTCAACAAATATATTCATATTTCCCAACATAATGTGGTCAGATGGGCCTTTCTTCGCTTTGTATTCATGAACAGTCACAAGCGAAGTGCCTATTGTACACGTAGAGGTCTACAGTGAGGTGCAGCATTGTTTTTCTCAAAAACTGGCGACTACTGATTGTCCCTTCCCATTACCTATTAGGCCTACAAGTTCCATAATAATCCTGCCAATTCCGATAGCATCTGCGTTTTACAGGAATCAACCACCAAAACTCAGAAGGAATTCATTTGCATTCCCGATTCGCTTTCTGGAGGTGTTGAATTCTAATCATTGTCTTAAGGACGCTTTCTTGAATGATATTTTCGCGGTGTTCTACATCCCTCCAGAAAAAATGTTGGAATAGTATCTCAAAATAAACTACTTATTTAAGTAAACCGTGAGGGTGTTTAACGATAAAATTCAGACACAAGAGAGAACAAATAATACGAGGTAGGTAAATATAAAACATTTACATAAAAATCTTCATAACTGGAACCTTTTCCAAATATTTATTAGGGTGAGATAGTAGGAACTTGTAGCATGAACAAAGAGATGAGAAATACGTACAAAATGCTGGTCGGAAATCCGAAGAGAAAGAGACCACTTTTATACCTAAAGGCTGGGAACATTTTTACCAGCTGAGCGACTAGCAGTTTGTCTGGAAGGCGTCTGCTTCACGAAGGTTGCCATATCTGGGAGCTGGTGGTTGTCAGAAGAACCCAGATTTACGCAAAGTGTCTATTTATGTGCAAAGGGACTGGTCAGTCCTCAACCAATTCATCACCTTGCCGTCAGGGCTTACGGCACACCTCGACGTTACACGTGTAGACAGGAAGGAAGTCGCGCGTCTCCCTTCTAATCGTGTTTCGAACGAGATAATTGTATTTCCGGGGAGAAGGAACGAGGGAGGTTAATCCCATTTGGCGAGACTGTTAATTCTGTTATTAGATAATCGTGTTGCGTTTAAGTTACAAATATAAGGTGCGACTTGCGCGTAACTAATGTTGACATCGCTTCATATTCATACTTAGGCGTGCATATATATTCCATATTCTTTAATATTGAATCTTATCAGTGAATTCTGAGGACTAAATGAAAAGTCTCAAACGTTTTTTTTTTCTGCATATTCGTGTCTGATAAAGTGCCATCACCATTCACTTCTTGCGAATTTAAAATTAAGTACTATTCCGTCCCGTTTTTAGTATTAAACATTCTATCCAGGATTACCTACCTCCATTTCCATGTTCTCGTTATCCTTAATTTATTTAACTATGGGCTTATACAGGCGAACATTAAATACCTTAAATTGTTGTA